GCCAGAGCTGTGATTTAAATCCAGGTGAATTAACCTCAAAATCTATGTTCTCAACAACTAACTAAAGTTTATCCTACATGCCAAAATTTTATTTTCCCAATGACTAACTCAAACACTAAAACAATATGATTTGTCTCTCTAATAAAGAGGAGAGTGACGAAAAGAAAGAAAGCATGGTAACAAGACTATTTTTGGCCATAATACTCAATATTCTGCACAAGGTAACCTCCCAGTAAATATATATGGTGTTCCATTAATACTTAGTTTGGTCCCTAATCCACAATATCACAAAAGGTATCTATCAATCCAAACAGATGCTATTTCTACTCGCATAGTCTGGCATCATCTTTTGTAGAACATATCTCTTTATGTCAAGCTAAAAAAAAAAAAAAGAGGGATTCACAGCTTCATTTAGAAGAAGATAAAATATTATGAAGGACAGAAACTATTTACAAGTGAGTTACCAGTAGTGTAATAGAGAAGTCCATATTTCAAAGAGGAGTTGATAAAACACATGAAAACTTAAAAGTCCCATGGTCATAATCCAATATATGAAAATGTATAAAGCAATTTAGGCAGCAAAGGTGTTTCTAGCTGGAAGGACCAGAAGGAGAAAACAAAGGCACAATTGTGTTGACCAGAAAACATAACCGAAAGTATCATAAAAATCAATGCTATATTAGAAAAGAAATAAAGGGGCTCCTAATCTGTGACTACTGGAAAGAGGTTCAAAAAGAATACGTTTTAGCAAATAGATAAGTTTTTATTCCTGAAAATTTCTGAAAGTTATTCCTGAAAAATTCTGAAAGAAAATACTACTAATGAGAGGGGGTTTTTTTCTGCATTTCAATAGTTATGATTTGTCTTTATATTATCAGTACTACAGAAACATAAAAAATATATATGATAAAGAACATTATAAACTGATGAACCAAAAGACAGATATAAAGACAGTAAAGCAACAAGCAGACTGTCAAATTATAGTGGGGAGGGTAGGGAGATCTGGGGGAGATAAGAGATCAACCGAAGGACTTGTATACATGCATATAAGTACAACCAATGAACACAAAACTCTGGGGAGGGAGGGTATGTATTGGGGGGAGGGGCAAAGTTAAAATATGTACACAAATAATAATTTAATTAAAAAAATATATATATACATATATATATATGTATATGTACATATATATATATATATATATATATATATATATATATATATGACCAACACATGAGACTAATCTAAATGGCTGCACCACTTTTGTTCACATGGAAAAATCATGTTTAAAAATATTATCTTAGCCGAAACCGGTTTGGCTCAGCGGTAGAGCATCGGTCTGCGGACTGAAAGGTCCCAGGTTCGATTCTGGTTGCGGGCACATTCCCGGTAGGGGGTGTGCAAGAGGCAGCTGGTCGATGTTTCTCTCTCATCGATGTCTCTAGCTCTCTATCCCTCTCTCCTCCTCTCCATAAAAAATCAATAAAATATATATATAAAAAATATTATCTTAGACCACCATCCAGCCCCATCTGACCACCACCACCACCACCATCACTCCACCACCAATAACAATAATCTAAAAAAAAAAAAAAAAAAAAAAAAAAAAAAAAGTTAAAGAATTCAATTACAAGAAGAACAAGATTTGGAACTTTCACCTAAATGCATCTCTTTGTTATAAAAGACATTAAGGAAGAAAAAAAACCCTCATGATTCATCAATGCCTGTCTGTTTCCTAAACCCAGGAAATTCCTTTACACCCCCCCTCCTGGCTCTGGCCAGCCAAAACTATAGGTGTACTACTCTATTCATTCCTTTACCAGCAACATACTATGCTAACAGTGCATATTTACATTTCAAGCTGATTTGTGTTAAGAGTATTCCAAATTCTAAACTCACTTGCTCAGAGGTGAATTTACAAATAATTGATTTAACAGAAAGCTGTCACACTCTCCACTCAAAATTCTGATGGTGCAGCCGCTATGAAAAACAGTTCCTCAAATAAAAATACCATATAACCCAGTAATTCCACTTCTGGGTATATACCCAAAAGAATTTAAATAGGGACTGGAACAGGAACCATATTCCTAGCAGCATTAATGATTCACAATAGCCAAAACATGGGAAAGGTAAATATGAGCAGGTAAATAAACAAAATGGGGTGTGTGTGTGTGTGTGTGTGTGTATATATATATATATATATATATATACAGAATAATATTATTCAGCCTTAAAAAGAAATTCTGACACATGGTACAACATGGATGAACATTGGAGACATTATGCTAATTGAAATAAAGGACAAGTACTATGATTCCACCTATATGAGTTACCGAAAATATTCACATTTATAGAGACAATATAGTAAAATGGTGGTTATCAGGGGCTAGAGAGAAGAAAGAATGGGAAATTACTGTTTAATGGGTACAGAGTTACAGTTCTGCAAGATAAAAATAGTCCTAGAAATGGATGGTGGTAATGGTTGCCCAAAGTGAATTAATTTAATATCACTGAACAGAACATATAAAAATGGTTAAGATGGCAAATTTTATATTATGTGTATTTCACCACAATTTCAATTTGTTTTAACTGGGAGCTGTTTTTATTTGGGGGACTAATCTTTAAAGGACAATTTAGAATATATACTTGCTTTGTAATGAGTTTGCTCATCTACCAAGTCCCAAACTAAGTCTCATTTTCTATCCACTAGTTACCCAGTTATAAGACACCAGGTTATTTAGGTTGTTAAAGACAATACAAAATCCTCCTCAAAAGCTTTTCCATACTTAGACATTGATTTATAAGAACTATTGTCCAGTAATAATCAAAATCTAAAACTTATTTTTAAAATCTAATCACATTTAAAATCTAAGTCCCTATCTACAAAGGCAAAACTGAGCTCTCAAAACGTTTTAATTTTCACAAGCATATGAAGTAAACAGAATATAATTTTACTATGTTTACTTTTAGACAGGAAAACTGATTTGCCCAGTTATAGAAGAAATCAACATCTAAGTATCCATATTCCAAATTTTGAACTGCAATCTTTTACACAAATTACTGCACCTGGTTACGGATACCTGGATAAATGCTAATTTTAAAAAGTTAACCTATAAAAATATTAAATCATAGTTAAAGTATAGAAAGAGTAGTCAATTTTAAAATTAAGTCCACAAAAGCAGGTTGATCTAGAATCATTTATAAGAGGAATACAAGGCTCCTCAACACAAAAAAAAGTCTAATGTGTATAAGATGTGTATAGTTTTCTAAGTAACTTTTTATTCTACCAATAATGTTTTACCTATTTAATATGAAATTAGCTCTCACCAGTTAGCAAACAATTGTTCACTGCAGATGCATAAGCTTTTTTTCCATTTTATAAATAATTGTTCACAGCATTGCCAATGGTTTAAAAAGAAAAATTGATTAGAATATAGTATTAATGTGATATGGATGCTTGTCCCAAATGCTTGTCAGAAAAATCTTATTTTACCTCTAAGTAGAAGAATCCTAAATTTCCCATCCTTGGCCAATCAATATAAGGTTCACAATAAACACAATAATTGTCACAAGTAAGAACAGAGCAAGCAAACAAAACAAAAAAGAAATTTAAAAGATTAAAAATTTAAAAAAAAAACCCTCAGGCCAATCCCAAGCCTACAAAACACCAAAATATTGTGGTTAACTCTGAATTTCAAAACACTTATTTCTGCGTTTGGAAGATATGGTATAATCAAATGGAGATAGATGCATATTTCTCACATAATCAGATACCAGTGGGTAATCAAAAGAGAAGACTCTGGAAATATAAAGTTGTGAGAGAGAAGAAAAGGAACTTAGAAAAAAAAATCAAAGAGGGAGAAGAAAAGCCCTACAAAATCTCAGTAAGGAAAAATATAACCTATATTGTCAATGTTAGGCCATGTGCAATGGTGACAGTGTTAAAGAAAGAGGGGAAGTATACCTGTACATAACAACATCTTCTAAATTAATGCCAAAATGAAAAGTTAAGAAGATGTCACTATGGTATTTTTGCCAAACATCAAAAGGCAAAGGTGGTGGTATTGGTTCTCCAAGTCTCTCATAATGCATATGGCACCACTGTGAGAAGGCCTCCCTAAGATATACCAGTGTCACTACATTTGAGCTCAGTAGGGGGGTAACCCTTGCATATCCTTTATTTTTTTTAAATAACTCTTTATTGTTTAAAGTATTACATATTTCCCTTCTTACCCCCCATTAATCCCTCCCCAACCTTCCTCTGCCCCCTCCCCCAGCCCACCCTCACCCTTACATGTCCTTTAAATTATTCCTGGAGAAAGGACACCAACCAAGCAATTCAAATCTGTAGGCAAGGGGAGTCTGCAAATACGAACTGGTCATTTAAGTTTGTGAATTCACTGCAAAGATACTGTGGTAAATAGAATCTATTTGCCTCCTCCTCATCTTCCTACCCTCCAAAAACTCCAGTAAGGCATCAAGCTCTAAAATGTTAATTCTTCTTGAAATCGACCATGATGCCCCCAATACCCTCACCGCCCCCTCACCATTTTTTTCCTCTCTCCTCAATACAACACACCCACAACACCACACGGTCCACACCCACACCCCAGACAACACTCTCCTCGTGGAACAACCCAAACTCCTAACCCAAAACACCCCACACTTAAATCCCCACACTCCACACGCCCCAATGCTACCCATTCTCCATTAAAATTCAGGAAACCCTGCGCAGTCCGCATACAAAACCCAGCTACCCTTAACCACCTTTCCCCCTATCAATCCCATTCAAGCCAGCTGCCCACAACACACCTTACACACAGCCCACATATCCTTTGAATCACACATGACCCCATGGCTCACCACACTCACACACCCACGAACCCTAGAAAGCCCCACACCACCGCAGTGCTCACACACACAGTAAGGAAGAGGCCACCCTCTGGGCACCGGGACCACCACGAGACAGGAGGCGGCAGGGGGACTGGGCCGGATACTCCACCTGAAAATCCGCCAGGATCATCTCCCGGTCCATGTTGGACGCCATGGCGGCCGCCGAGTTCCGCGGCTGCTCCGGGGGCGAGGCGCGCACCTGGGAAGAAGACGGCGCCTCCTGTGGCCGTCGCCGCCGCCGCCGCCGCCGCCGGGCGCCGAGGGGCGGGCGGACGAGCCGGCGGGCGGGCCGGCGGGCCGGCGGGCGGGGCAGCGCGGGAGGCTAGGCGCTCATGCACCCGGTAACCTTCAGGAGCCCGGGCCGCCCGCCTCCTTCGCCCCGCGGAGCCCGCGCCGCAGACGCCCGGACGGACAGGGAGGAGGCTCGTCGGGATGCGGGTCGGGTCTTACGGGGGCCGGCCAGGATGGGGATCAGATTGCGACAGCGCGCACCCGGCTCCCTTCAGTGGCGGGGAGACCGGCGGGGTGAAGGGGGGCGGGGAAACCGAGCGAACAAGCTGGCGGGTGAACACCACCGCCAAGGCCGCCTCCGCCTCCGCCTCCCTCCGCCTCCGCCACTTCCGCCCCGGCCGCCGCCGCAGCCCCTGGTTGGCCAGCGCCGCGGCTGTCGCACATTTTGCCTGTCATCGAGGTCGCAAAGCGCCGCTTTACGGCTGCCACGTGACTGTCCTGTCAAGCATTGGGAGCGCCACTACCGGGCGAGGATCGCTGCCGGCCGGCGGGGACGCCGGCCTACAATTGCGGGAATCCCGCAACTGGTTATTCCGGCTTGGAATGAAGCAAAGGCTTCGCGATACCTCCTCCCCCCTGGCTGGGGCGGGACTCCGATCCTGTGCTTTATGTGGTTAGAGAGTCACACACAGAGGCATCAAGCCTCATAAACCAACTCGGCGCATTCTGACAACCCATCTGACAATCTGCATTTCTTTTCTTTATATATATATTTTTTTCTTTATAAATATATATATATATACATATATATATTTGATTTTTTTACAGAGAGGAAGGGAGAGAGATAGAGAGATAGAAATAGAATGAGAGAGAGTCATTGATCACACCCCCCACTGGGAATATGCCTGCAACCAATGTACATGCCCTTGACCCGGAATCGAACCCAGGACCCTTCAGTCCTCAGGCTGACGCTCTATCCACTGAGCCAAACCGGTTTCGGCACAATCTGCATTTCTTAGACGTATTTTCTCTAACAGGGTTTCACCAAAATTTAGACCAGAATTAATTAGATAAAGGATAGAACCCTTCAGTCTCATGAATTGATGTGTTTGTCTAATTGCCATCCCTAAAGAAGTAATTTCAAAATATAGCTAAAATGTGAATGATGAGGCGAAACACAGTACCACAACTTAAGTGTGGCAATTCATTTGTCCCATTCATATGTCACTCTCAGCACAAGGCAGGTCAATAATTGTCTCTAGTTACAGGGTTAGGATTAATGCAGCCCTGGAAAGTTGAAGTTTTTCTCTGTGATCACAGAGGAGGGGAAAGCCCATTCAAATCCAGTTCTGTGTCCCTTCTCCATCCTCTCCATCTGGAAATTAAACAATGTAATGGGAAGAATAACCTCCTAGACATTCAGGCGTATGGGTCCTAGTACCACTTTCCCAACTAATTAGCTAGGGAAACTTGGATGGGTCTCTTGGTCTCTTTGACTTCAGTCTCTGATATGACTTCAATTTCAGGTGTTGAAGAAACAATTATGAAAATGCATGCCAAACATAAAATATTTTTACAAAACGAGCATGTATTTCAGTCAGCATTTACTAAGCTTGAATTCTAACTCTACCCCTTACAAAAAATTTCTGAGTCTCAATTTTTTTTCTTTGAAGTGGGATTTATAAAACTTACCTCATAGAGTAATTGTGAATATTTAGTAATATAATGCTTGTGAAAACTCTTCAGAAACTTTAAATATTAGTTGCTATTACTTAGTATACCAATTCCAAAATGCTTTCCTTAGGATTACCTCTTTCATAAAACATAGGCCAACAGGATTCATCTCCTTTATAATCACTGCTTTTACCATCTTTACAACACAATTTAATGCTTCGATAAAATCTATAATTTCTTCCCTAATTGTTTCACATATGCATGTTTTTTTAATATGTTTTATTGATTTTTCACAGAGAAGAAGAGAGAGGGATAGGATAGAGAGTCAGAAAGATCAATGAGAGAGAATCATCGATCAGCTGCCTCCTGCACTGGGGATGTGCCCACAACCAAGGTACATGCCCTTGACCGGAATCAAACCCAGGACCTTTCAGTCTGCAGACCGACGCTCTATCCACTGAGCCAAACTGGTTTCAGCAAACCTATGCATGTTTTAATCTCTCCCCAGAGGTTAAAAATTCCTTGATGTGTTATAGAACTATATGCCTGAAACCCATATAATATTAACAAATGTCACTCCAATAAATTAAATTTAGTTATTTAAGATTTAAGCCATTTCATCTTGTATATTTTTATGTTCATCATAGTTCACACATAGCAAAGTTGTGAGTACATAACAACTAATTTTTTTAAATATATTTTATTGATTTGTTTACAGAGAGGAAGGGAGATAGTTAGAAACATCGATTACAGAGAAACATCGATGAGCTGCCTCCTGCACACCCCCTACTGGGGATGTGCCCAAACCCAAGGTACCTGCCCTTGACCAGAATCAAACCTGGGACCTTTCAGTCCAAAGGCCAATGTTCTATCCACTGAGCCGGTTTCGGCAGCAACTAATATTTTGAATTAATTTTTATTGGATGTCTAGAATGCACAGGCACTTTACACACCTATCTCATTTAATTCTTCCAACCACCATTTTACAGAATAAAAAACTGCTCTGAGCATTTAAGAATTTTCCCAAAGTCATGCTACAAAGTGACAGACTTATTATTCAAAACTAGGTCAAAACTAGCGCTATTTCCATTTACCATGTTGCCTCCCTCCTGGCTGCAAAGTTTGTACAGTCCCTAATTAAGCTGATTCTTTCCTATGATCTAATCCTTCATGGTTGGATAGCCAATATCCACAATTATTGTCCACCACAGGAAAAAGAAAGAAAAACAAATACTGACTTAAGGAGGGGGGAAAAAATCACTTTTCATTTCTCCAGAATTCCTTCCTGAAAAGAAACAATTTCACTTCGGTGTCACAAACTGAGAGAATAAAAATATATAGAGATCCTCTACACAGAAAAATGAACAAAACATTTTAAATATATATGTTTATTGATTTCAGAGGGGAAGTGAGGGAGAGATAGAAACATCAATGATGAGAAAGAATCATGGATCAGCTGCCTCCTACACGCCCCCTACTGGGGATTGAGCCTTCAACTCAGGCATGCGCCCTTGGCAGGAATCAAACCCAGACCCTTGAGTCTGCAGGCCACACTCCATCCACTGAGCCAAATCTATCCATTCTCATAGTGGGTCTACTGTATTAACTCAGGGAATCCAGCCTAATTCGAATACTGTATAGGTCTTGTTTTAGAATTTCCATGCTCTTTTATCTTACTACTTTTTTAAAAGGAACTTGTATTTTATCTTTCCTCAAATATATAATACAGTTTATTTGTAGTCATTAGACTAAATTTTTATTTGAAATAATCTTACATTTATAGAATAGTTGCAAAGATTGTACAAAATGTTCCTATTTACCTTTCATCCAGCTTCCTATTATCATACAGAACCACGATAAACCATCAAACTAAGAAATTAACATTGGTACAATACTATTATATTCTAGAAACCCTATTTGGATTTTTATTTATGTTCTTTTTCTGTTTAGGTCTAATCCAGAACACCATACATTATATTGAATCATGTTTTTCATTAGCCTCTTCCAATCTATGATATTTTCTCAATCTTGAATCTTAAAGAGTAATAGTTAGAACTTTATAGAATGTCCCTCAGTTTGGGTTTATATGATGTTTTCTCTGAATTATACTGAGTTTATGGATTTGGGGAATAATACCACAAAGTATGTATCCTCATCACATGATATCAACATGACTTATTAAGGGTGGAGTTAACCTTGCTCCTTTGGTTAAGTTAATCAAGCTTTGTAACAATACTATTAGATGATAATATGATTTTTGAGAAGGTTGATACTGTTACAGTGTTAGAACCACACTCAATCCAGCTCTACTATATGCATCTTAAACTGTCTTAAATTTTATTTACTGTTATTCAACAAAAGTAATAAAAAGTATATTTCATTGGTGCCTAATCCTGGACTCTTAAGTAATGAAAGAGTCCAGGATTTAGGGCCTCAAGATCTGAGTTCAAATTCTATATCAACAATTTACTGGTTTTAAATCACAATCTCTAGAAACCTCAATTCCTTCACTTGAAAAATGAGGAATTATTTTATCTCAGCTTTGTTATAAAGATTAAGTAATTAAAGTGTGCATCAATTTTATAACCATGAAACACTATACAAATATTAATTATTGCTATTATGTTTAAATAATAGCAAAATATTTTCAGTGCTTCTGAGTTGCTCTTGGGCAATTTTTTATTTATGTATTTATTTACTTATTTATTTGCTTATTTATTTATTTTACAAAAAACTTTCTGCCCTGGCCTTGTAGCTCAGTTGGTTAAGCTTCAGGTATGATCCCCAGTCAGGGCACATACAAGAAGCAACCAATAAATGGGTAACTAAGTGGAACAACTAATCTCCTGTCCTCTCTCTCTAAAATCAAGAAGTTAAAAAAAATTGTAAAAACATTCATAAGTAATGTAAGTACCCACATAAAAAAGCCTGCTAAATCTGAGATAAAATGTCAAAGCCACAATTATGAAATGACTAAAAGGTCCTCTGAGGGTACTAATCTGTTTTCTATCTCTGTTTGGGTCTATAAATAAAAGAGGAAGATTTTGAAACTAAGTAAAGAAATTACAAATACACATACATATTTCCATAAGTTAGTCATTTAGAAACTGCACACTTGTCAGAGGGAAAGTCACAATATAATGTGATTACATTGTGACACTAAGTATTTTACATCCAACAATAAGCCTCTATTTTCACTGTTTGAGAGATATTTCATTACTAAGTTAAAAGAGAAACCACTACTTTCAATATAAGATACTTAATTGCGAATCTTTCTCGTACACCATGTTAGAATGTAAGCTTATTGAGGGTAGAGATACTCACTTTTAAATCTACTTCAGTGAACTGACAATAAATATTAGATTCTCATTAGAGGTACTTTGTAATGCTTAAGTATATTCTCTAAACTAAGACTAAAAACCTTAGGCTGCCACTTCTGGTTTACACAATAAGCACACTACACATATACTTTAGATCACCAGCAATGCCAGAGTAAAAAAGACAAAAATACTTTCTTAAAGGATTCAATCTTTTAGCAAAAGCATGGCAGTAGTCATCAAGGGGAAAAGAAGAATTTTGTTGGACTTCTTTACACTTATTTTTTGTATTATTTCAATTTTATTTGCATAGGCGATGAGGTGATGAGCCATCAAAATCTTGTCAGTGCTTAGTCCCCCAAAAAATCTTTTTTAAAAAAATATATTTTATTGATATTTTACAGAGAGGAGGAAGGGAAAGAGATAGAGAGCTAGAAATGTCGATGACAGAGAAACATCGACCAGCTGCCTCTTGCACACCCCCTACTGGGGATGTGCCCGCAACCAATGTACATGCCCTTGACCGGAATCGAACCTGGGACCTTTCAGTCCGCAGTCCGACACTCTACCGCTGAGCCAAACCGGTTTCGGCCCCCAAAAAATCTTAATCCAGCTCTACTATATGCATCTGAAACTGTCTTAAACTTTATTTACTGTTACTCAGCAAAAGTATTTCATGAAAATTATAATAGTGTACCTAAGTTATGAGTTACATAGTACAGTTTAATGTTCTTCCTCGTTACAGTATTTCTCTTAGCAAGAACCCATAATGCTAGAGAGCAATTCTCATAAATTGGGTTAATGCCAGTTTTCTCTTATCAGCCAACAGTACTACTATATTATCACACCCTCCAGCTGTACTAACATATTACACAGTAAGTTCTGAGAATAACCAAATCTAAATTGTATTATTTGTGGTATTTACTGGTTAAAAATGGAATAATAAATGTTCTATTTGAAGTGTCTAAATATGTGCAAGAAAGGAGTTAATTTCTTGTGGTGCAGTTCATGCTTGATTCACATTTGAAGTTGAGTTACCTGAGAAAAGAGCTCTGGTTATTTTTTTTCTCTCAACAGTTCAGTTAAAGAAAATACTGCCAGATTCTTCCCAGTTTACAGGACATCACCCCTCCCCTCCTCCCCTCCCTCACCCCCCACCTATCAGCCAGTCTGTTCCTAGATAATTATCCAGATGTTTCTGGGATGTTTTTGTTGCTAATATTCCCAGTATACCTCAAGGAGCTGGGTACAGATGTTACTTGAAGATATACTTGCCAGAGGCTGGTAGTAATTACACCACTTGCCATTTTTTGCTTGGTTTCATTTTTGACCGCTGGGTGCATCACGTAACCGTGTTGATATTTTTAAGAACAAAAAAAAATATATAGAAAGCTGTAGTTAATTAACCTTACGTGGCTAAAAGAGGAAGTTTAAAAGTACAGAGAGAACTGGTGTACTCTGGTGTTTGAAATAATTTACATTCAAACTCTCCTTCCCCTCCCCCCAGAAAACAAGCCCCATCTACGTAGTCAAAGTGAGAACTCTGGCAATAATAATAATAATATGGCCTTGTTAGAAAACCCTCCCCAGGATTTAAGTTCCACTTTAGAGTTAACTGCTTTTCTCCCTTTTCCCTGAATACTTCCGTTTCGAGTCCCTGGAACATTAGGGTTTCAGAGTCCGTCCTGATTTCCTACCTATATGCCATGCCTTTAGTATTCTTTAAAACCTCACTTTATTGAAGGCTTTCGCTTTTGCTGAGCTCGGCTGTGGCTGTCAGCCGGGCCTCCCCCTCCACCCAGCGGCCACCTCTGCCCCCCGCGGTCCCGGGGTGACCCGGCAGGTGCGAGGCCCGGGCGGCGGCGAGGAGGCCGGGCTTGCAGGGCGCGAGCCCCGAGGAGGAGGCGGCGGCCGGCGCAGGCCTCGCGGCCGGAACTCCGGGAGCCCAGGCGGGCGGCGCGGAGGGCGCGGGCCCTCGGCCTGCAGCCGCCAGCGGCGCCCGGCCTCCGGGCCTGCGGCGCTCCGCAGCCGGACTCATCGTTATCCACCAGCCCCGTCCCCTCTCGCCCGCCCCGCCGGGCTCGCCGCGGCCCGGGGTTCCGCGTCGCCGACCCGATCCCGCCGGCCGGCGGGCAGGAGGAAGCCGAGGGGCGGGCGGCGGGAGCCGGAGCCGCAGACCGCGGCGGGGAGCGGGGCCCGGGGCGCGGAGGCGGGAGGAGGGCGCCGGGGGCGGGGCGCGGGGCGGCGGGCGGGCGCCGCCGGGCGGGGGGCGGGCCGGGGGCGGGGCCCGGCCTTCCCGCTCCCGCGGCGCGGCAACTCGGCGGAGCCTCCTTAAAACTCTGCCGTTAAAATGGGGGCGGGTTTTTCAACTCAAAAAGCGCTCAATTTTTTTCTTTTCAAAAAAAGCTGATGAGGTCGGAAAAAAAAAAAAAGGGGGAAAGAAACCGGCACGGTCTCTGCAGCGGCCACAGAAGTAGCGATTGTTGGAGCAGAGCAGAGAAGCAGAGAAGGGAGGGGAGGAGGAGAATAGAAAGTGTCTGCAGGGGAGAAGGGAGCCGGGACCGGCGATTCTGGGGGAGACTGAGCCACAAAAGAAACTGTCACCCGGAGCGCTGCGGCTCGGGAGGAAGCCGTGCTGCCCGGTCCGGCTGCGGGCACAGCTGCCCCGCGGGCGGCACCGGCTCGGGGCGCAGAGGTCGGGGGACCGCGAGAGGCTCGCCAAGTGGCACCACCGGTGGCCGAACCGGCTGGGCGCTCTGGTCGACGACAGGGCTGCGGGACCGGCTGCGCCCTGGGGACTCCCCATCCTGGGAGACCGGCTCCGGCTTCCCAGGACCCCGCCGATCTCCGGAGGCGCCCTCCGAAGACCAGGAGAGGACGGAAGAGACGGCGGCAGCCGCTCCGGGAGCGTCTCCAGTAGGAGGTCTGGACTGGCTCGGTCCTAGGCGGGAAGCTACGGGCGAGCTGCCCCGTGCAGCCGCGATGCTGCAGCGCGCTGCCCCCGCCGCCCGGGCCCCGTAGACGCCGCTGCCCGCACCGCTCTCCCTCCCGTCCCCGCACCCGGTGGGGCCGGCATGACCCGCCTGGCCCAGGCCCGCCGCGCGTCCGGCGGGCTCCGAAGACGCGCGCCGAGCCGGGCTCCCACGGCCTCGGAGGCTCTGCGGGGCTGCGGCGGCCCGGCGGGCGGGCTCCGGAGCCTCCCCGCGCGGCGTTAACCCGCGTCCCCGGCCCCCGGACGCGGATCAAGGCCCTTCCCCGGGGAAGCCGAGGCCACGGAGGAGTCGTGACGGACCTGGAACTCGAGGGCTACGGAACTACCACTCCCGTTTGCCTTTTGGCGATCGTCGTTAACCCCCTGGAGGACGTCAGCATCCAGCTGCAGCGGCGCTCCCCCTGCAGAGCGGAGCCCTCGGCACGGACTACCCCTCCGGGCGTGACGGATGGAGACCGAGCCTCCCCGAGGACCTGCCCCTGCAGTTCTGGCCGGCGCGGCTCCAGTCGCCACCACCGCGAGCAAGGGTGGGTTCGTGCCTTTTCTCCCCCCGCAAAGGTCTTTTTCTTCCGCTGTGTTTCTCTCTCCTGGGTCTAGTTCCTTAACCCTCCGCACGCATTCCTCGCAGGGATCTCTAGTGCTGTGACAGCTCTGCCTGCATTTTACATCCAGAGTAATTTGCCAGGAATGTGTCTGTCTCTCCCCCTCTTTCTCTCTCCCCCTGTTGAATCACCGGAATTCTTCCTAGGGGTTAAAGCTAAAAAAGAGAGGAGCGAGCCCCTCTCCAATGGCTCAGTTTTGCTGAATAATCACGTGTGAACCGAGGGGCGGGCTTTTGGCAGGCAGATCTTACTAGTATTTACTACCAAGCTCTACTCCAGATTAAACATCCCAGTCCTTCTGTCAGCCTCCGATGCCATCATGCAGCCTGGTTAGGAAGGAGCAAAGGAAAGGGGGGAGGGAGGGAGAAGGAAAAAAGAAAAAACAACTAATTCATCTTTTCCCGATCGTCAGGACCCTAAAGAATGGCCGAGCCTTGGGGGAACGAGTTGGCGTCCGCAGCTGCCAGGGGGGACCTAGAGCAACTTACTAGTTTGTTGCAAAATAATGTAAACGTCAATGCACAAAATGGATTTGGAAGGACTGCGCTGCAGGTGGGTATCCAGAGAGGTGGGGGATGGGGGGAGATGGAAACAGGTCAACAGCGTTGCCTACGTGACCCGGGTGTCTAGAATAGCAGCTCTTAAGCTTTGAGGGGCACAAAATTTCACCGTGTTTAAACCTAGCTGGTTGCCATATTTTATATCTCTAAGTGGATCCAACTCCCCCAAAATGACGTACTTTGAACAAACTCGTTAAACCCAAAAACATCCGTGATATCAAGTAGGTTCCAGGTTTGGTCTTAATTTTCAGATTGTTTTTATGACGGTGGGTATCTGAGAGGCATCGTAGCAGCGCCGAGTTGGGGGAGGGGGGAGGTAGACAGCTTTGTAAACACTTTATTATGATTATTATTTGAAGCAAATACGCTGCTATTAGTGGTTTTCATACTTTGCTCCTATAATTGACTTCGACGTTAATTTTCTTGACTACTGGCAGGGGTGTTTTCCTTCAAACGCTTCACGTTTTGACAAACAACCTTTCCTCATTTGGAATTGGGTGGACTGGGCACGGGGACAGGATGTACATTTCACAGTTAATGTAATACCATCCACCCATTCAGGATGGAGGAGGAATAAAAAATTGAATTTTCTCATCAGAGTTCAGCTCGTGTTTTTGTCTCTGCGGTCATGCCGTGGTATGTTCTAATTTTTAGCTATTAGATTTACAAGCAACAAATGAAACAAGTCCAGCTGCCAAGTGTTGTACCTGATAATTTTTTTCCTCCTCTGAGCATTATCCTGTAACTTAGCTGAAAGGCTTAAGACCTTTAAAAAAATGGAAAATTGGTCTCAAATAGTTGCTTTATCCGAGTTCTAATGATATTCTTATGAGCTAGTCTTATTCGGAAATGCCACGCTTGAAACTGAAAATTGGAGAGAGGGTTTTTAAGGTGCTTTATTTTAATTACAAGAATTAGAAAATTTAAGTGGAAGGAGATAAACAGTCTTACATTTTAAATCAGAATACACTGACCTTGCAAAATGTTCAGTATTTATGGAAGCTTATGTATATATATTAAATAGTTTATCTTGTTATTTCAGGTAGATTAAGTGGGGAAAGAATTTTTTTTTCTTTTTCTATTTAGTAGTTTTAACAGGTGTGGTGGTAGCAATGCTACAAATTTAATATATTTAAAGGTTCCCTAATGAAAACTAAAAGGTTTTCTAAATCTCACAATGAGCCACTTAACCCATGTTAAGAATAAGATCTTACAGGACTTTTGACGAACAGAAAGACTGGGAAATTAATACTGAAAACAAGTTTTGACAAACATTTTAAATAAAATCTGCAATCCTGTTTATATTAAACATACTTATCAAGATACTAACACCCACTTATTGTGAATTAGTCCTTGTGCATATAATAAAACCCACGTAAACAGGAGTCTCAAGGCTTATTTTCAGTATGTGTAATCCTGACTCTGAAGTTGTATCCTAAGTCAAGAAAGAACTTCCTTTTAAAACAATTTCCAATATTACTATTATTTTCTATTATTATTACTATTATTTTCTATTATTATTATTTTACTCAATTGTAAAAAGGTGTTTTTTTTCCCCCTTTGCTAGTGTAAGCTTTTCAATCAGGATAATACCAAAGGCCTTAATCATACATTTGCTTTACAAAGATCCAAGTTGTCTGTTTCTTATTTTTCCTAGTCCAGGTTCTTAAATGTGACTAAATCTTTAGAGCCAGTTGTGGCAAAAATTAGATTGTATTGATTTTTAATAACCAAAAAGTATACTTCATTGAAGTTCTTGAAAAACAAATTATTTCTCATTCTTACCACTGCCCCAAAGGCAGGGCTAAAAGCCAGGAAGGTTTTATCGACAGGGAGGCTTAGTATCTTGGACATCTATGTAGTTTGCATTTATAAAATATTACTTACTCTAAATATATTTTATTATATTAATTTGTGATTATTTTAAAAAGTAAACATTCCAAAGGGATAAACTTTGTATTTTCCAATGGGTTATATTTCACAAATATTTGAGTGTCTATTATGCAATCTATTATAAATTTATATTATTATGAAGTATACCTAAATATAAATGAAATCAGTTAAAATGCTGAAATTTTTGGCATGTTAATAAGACTATATTTTTTTCACAACTAAATTATATGTATTGTATAAATAACTGTGTGCTGCTCCACAAGATATTTTATAATTATGAGAGCCTAATAGACATCTCTTATTAGAGTGAACTATGTACATTCAAACAAAAATAGATAAGTCTTTGTCATGTGAATTATTTGCATGTTGACAGCAAATTTTAATACTACATTCTGGCTTTTAAAGTGTTGGCAGTTCACAAATAGCTATTCCTAAATTCCTGACAATAACTGCAAAAGGAAATAAGGTGGATCACCAGTTGATTATTAAATGGGCTCAACCACACACAACACTGTCTGTGTCCCAAATACATATTAAATATCAAATCAGAAGGCTAATTAGAACTTTTAAAAAATAGTAAGTAATATAGTAGGATTAGACTGTTACATTCTTTTCAAGAGCAGTTTCCATATAATAATCTCCTATCTAATACTCGGCATATCTTCAATTTAGTTTTAGATAAGTCAATATCATAAACATGGAGAACGCTGTATTTACTTAACACCTAGTAATCAGTAACATGTAAAAATTTCAAGTGAAGGATTATAAGTACTAAATATACCTCACACCTGGTAGCCAATATGTAATAACTTGCAAAGAAAATTTTTTTAAAAATTTAAACACTTGGAAATTTGGCACTATATCAATTGGAGGAGACCTTGTAAAAATTAATCATTTAAGAAAATGTCAGATTTGAATTTTTAATAGATCATTTTTACACTAGATGGAGACTGATATGTAGAAACACTTCTTTGGGGATTTAAGAAACTCACCTTATTTCTTTTCAGTAGCTATTTAGAAAATAAATGTTGCCCACATTTGATTTTCCAGAATAAATACTCTAGGTGTATTTTATGAGTATGAACAAGCACAGAAGACTCTTATTTAAATCTCAATTTCCATTTCTTTTAATAAATTCACGAAGTTACACACCCCTTCATGGGAGATAGAGAACTGGGTTGTGAGTAAATTTTATACAATTTGGACTAGTTCTATTTTACTGATCAGTTTATCCTATTTTGGGGCCCGTTTAAGATATTCCATCATATACGCTCAATTTTTATAAGTTTTCTTCTAGTTGTACCTACTAGTACTTTCCTCCTCTCAAATGAGACCTTCAAACTCCATCATATGGGTCTTCCCCGAGTACTTCTTCACTAAAGACAGTCACATAAATAGGAGAGGTGGATATTTTAAAATATCCTTGTCGTATGAGCACTTAAAGGATTCTACTCTTTTTTTCTTCTTTTCTAGGTTATGAAACTTGGAAATCCTGAGATTGCCAGGAGACTACTGCTTAGAGGTGCTAATCCTAATTTGAAAGATGGAACTGGTTTCGCTGTCATTCACGATGCAGCCAGAGCGGGTTTCCTGGACACTTTACAGACTTTGCTGGAGTTTCAAGCTGACGTGAACATCGAGGATAATGAAGGGAACCTGCCCTTGCACTTGGCTGCCAAAGAAGGCCACCTCCCGGTGGTGGAGTTCCTCGTGAAGCACACTGCCAGCCACGTAGGGCATCGGAACCACAACGGGGACACCGCCTGCGACTTGGCCAGGCTCTACCGGAGGAACGAGGTCGTTAGCCTGATGGAGGGAACCGGGGCGGAGGGAGCTGAGAATCTACAGTGAATGCGCGGGGAGGGCTCTCCCACACTGCCTTCTATTCTGTCAGTTAAATGGTTGGCTGTTTTAATATCATCTGTTAAAACTCAGTTTTGTCATATTTTAAGCAGCTTGTTAAATCTTCTGAAACTGCTAAATGGACATCTTACTACAGGTTTATGCATCTATCTTTTTCACCTACAGAACCCTGAGTTCTAACATATAATTGCAAATAGCTTTGGCTTTCTTCTTATTATTTTATCTTCCCTTTACTTTTTCTTGGCTTCTTTCTCCCTTTGCCAATCTCAATACCCAACTTGATGACTTTGTTTTAAAAATGGTTTGTCCTGATGCTTCTTTTGCCTAATTAAAACACTTTTTCAAAACAGGACAATGTTTTTCTGTGACGTCTACTCCTCTATAAGTCCCATATAATTTTCCACTTGCTAGGAGATCAAGTTTTACATTTTGACATTAGAAAACGTAGACCAACTGGGAAACTAGGCATATTCCCTTGAGGATTCAGTTATTCTTATCTTCCTTTCCTGATGTCTCTCCCAAAGGAGTTTACTTGGCGCCTTGTATGACTGCTTTAAAGTAGGATAAGAACAACTTTTTTGAACATCAAACCTGAAATTATTTCAGTGTGAATTTATGCTATTATTCAGTCTTCCCTTTTTCTCAAACTTAAGTTGAATAGTTGGAAAAACAGTATTCAGAATAGCAATCTAATGACAATTACATGTTAATTCTAAAAGCCACTTTTAAAAAGAAAGTACCACCTTAAAAGTTCCTCCCATTAGTTGATTTTTTAAAAAATCACAAATAAAATAATTGGTTAACAAATTTCACTAAAATAATACCATAAGTATACTAAGTGCAACACTGTCTTTTTCTCCCTGAATGACAGAAATGTAAAATTATAAAATGTTAAAGTATTAAAAACACTATAAATAACAATTTTTGGGGGGGGGTAAAATGCTCAGCAAGAAAAATATATAAATTACATAAGGGTCATAAGTATTTTAGGGGCTGCAGTATAATAAACATATAAACATTTACAATAAGTACATAGGTCACTCTTACATTTAGTATTTGATTCCCACAAAACGTATTAGTGAAGGCATATAAAATATTTTAAAGAATATAGTTAGCTAAACATAATTTTTGAATGAAATATAAACATCAAATTTCTGAGAGAATTTTCCAGTATCTATTAGTCTGTCATTTCAATTAAAGATTGTAACCAGAAGATTTCAATGCAGTTATCATTTATAAATTTATAAATACTTTATTCATATTCTCCCATATGAACATAGATGTTTTATGTGAAAGTTCCCTCTTTCTGCTTCATAAGCTCCCTGCCCTTGCCCCAAAAATAAAAACTACTTCAAGGTTTATTGAAGAATATGGTTCTGATGCCAGCCCTAACAAGGACTGGAATGATTGCAGGCAAGTGGTTTTCAATAATGGTGTTTTCCATGATAATATAAAAAGAGTATAGGATAAAAAGTTTAATCCTTTTAATTTGGCATTAAAGTTCACCTTCCCTAAGTTAAGTGCAACAGGATTTCAACTTCTGCCCCCTCTGACCACAAGTTACTAAATACACTTATTTTTGACAGCAACATAAAATTAAATTTAAAACACATTTGAAAATTTAGAAAAAGTAGTTGAGATGGTTTTAAAGGAAAGGGTGTTGTATTTGGATGTTAAAACTGGAATCAATGTATAACACACATTGCTTGAGTAAAGATGAATATTTTTCTAAATACAAGATTACTGAAAACAAAATAATCCTTAGAAGTTTTAACTGTAAAGATGAATGTTTCTGAGGTTAAAGTCAAGTTTAATGGCCTTTTCCGTATCCACCAGGTCTCAGTATTAAAATTGTTCTTTGGAGACCAAATATAAAGTTATAGGACTCCGAAAGCTAAAGAGCAGGAGACGATTCTGCCTGTGGCTTTGTTCAGAGGAGGTAGGAACAGATAAGGGGACAAGGAGCTCATCTCCTTTCAGCCTGAAATTTGCTAGTCATTAAGTATCACCACATTTCTCTGGCAGGAAATAGCTTTGCTAATCTAAGTATTTTAGAAATGAGTTATGTGGTCCCTCTAGGAAATATGAAAAACCATTATTCATCTCTCAAAAACCTCAATAATATTCAGTAAGGTTCTCGACATGTGTTGGATGAAAGAAGGGTGTTGCTGAGTTTAATAGCTTCTAAACTTTGCAGTGAACTGAGGTGGGGAAGGGTCTGATACAAATGCTAATTAACGGAGTGACCAGGGCCCCTGGAGAGGACCCAATGGAAAGGATGGAGGGTGCTAAACAGCTATGCTCTCTTAAATTCAGCTCTCCACTGTGTCGTGACCCAAGTTATCATGGTGGGGGGGGGGGGGGGGCGGCGGGGAGACTCGGGCTCAACCTTTGCCCGGTATAAGCTCAATCCGGACTTACACCTCGAGGAAGGGGGAACTAACTGGACCTCAGTCCACGTTCTGTTTCCTGAGACATTAAGCCAATTGCATTTTGACATATTTCAGTAATGAATCAATACTTTTCTGGTAAACAATTAGCATCTCTTAACGGTGTGAGATGAGCTCACACACACACACTCAATGCTGGGTGATTGATATAAAAAAAAAAATCGGTCAGGCAAACAATACAATTGGTGGGATTATACATTTCCCTTTATCTGGGATCTGTGGCTCCGGACTGGTTTTGAAATCTCAGTTCCCAAAAAGGTGCTTTCTTTAGGCTTTTGCCTGAAGTAGAAGCAATAGCCCAGAAGCGCTGCAGGATCACAGCGCTGGAGGGAGAAAGGGTTGTATTTACAGCTTTCCTGACTGCCCTAAGTCCCAAGTGACCTTCATAAATGCCTACGGGAGGGCGGACAGAGAGGTTGCGGTGGGAGGGGGAGTCCTTCTCTTGGTCTCTAGAGACTTTTGATTTTACATTGCAGTTCGAACACACACACACACGCAAACAGGTCCACGCAGGGACCTGGAGTGAGGCAGGAGACCAATATTCTGCCCATAGCCAACCCAAGCCCTCTTTGAGGGGCTGCGAAGACATCCTTTCTGTCCCTTCCAAACTGTCCAGCCTCCCGCGGCCGCTCCGGGCTCTCCGGGGAGGAAGCGGGAGCCCAGAGCTCCCTCCGGGCAGGCGGGCGCGGAGAAAAGCCCGGGGTGGGGGTGGGGGAGTTTCAAAACCGTTAGCTCGCGTTTTTTTTTTTTTTTTTTTTTTTTCCTTCTCTTTCCCCTCCCTCGCTAAGGTTTCTTTTCTTTTCTCTTCCTGTCCAAATATTTCAAATTTCCGCGCCTTAAATAACAGTCTCTTTTTATTTAGTTGGTTTCCTCGGCAGGTTTGTCCTCACGCTCGCCTCTGCCCTCCGGCGCTCCCGGGCGCCTCCGCCTCCGGCGCCGCAGCGCAGCCCGCAGCCCGCGGGGCGCAGGGCGCCCGCCGGAGCCACAGCCCCTCTGGCCGCGGCGACCTCGCCTGACCCCGCTCTCCGGGCGCTCAGACCCGACGAGGGCCACCCCCCGCCCTGACGCCTGTCTGCCTCGCAGCTCCGCTTCCCCGCCCGGACTTTGGAGCCTGTTCTTGCTTTGGCGTTTGGAGCACGATCGCCTGGGAGCCGCGGCGACGGGAGCGCAGCGGGGGAGGCCGGTGGCGGGAGCCGGTCCCAGCCCCCAGCCCGCGGGTAACCTTGGCGGCGCCCTCCGAGGGGGTGAGTGAGTGCGGGCGAGGAGGCGGGAGGTGGGGGCGGGGAGGAGGAGCGGGTCCCCGGCTCCTCCCGGGAGCTGCGGGCTGCAGGGGCGCCCAGGTCCCCCGGCCTTGGCCCTCCGGCGACTGTCCCCCAGGAGGCGGCAGCCACCCCACTGGATCCGTCCTGCAACCTGCGCCTCTGGGCTAGGGCCATAGGGCGACGAGGGAGCAGGGGCCAGCGGGCCGGCGAGCGCCCAGGTCTCCGCAGAGGTGAGCTGGCTGCCGGGCTCGGGAGCCACTCCTTGCCCAATGCCAAGGCCAGCGCTCCCTTTCCTCCTCCCCCACGCTGACAGCTGAGGCCAGCCGGGCTCCCGAGCCCCGCGTCCAAATGCGGTGGCGGCAAATAACCGCTCCGGCTTCTCAGCCACAGACCATTCAGGAAGGTTCGCTATGGTGTTTGCTGTTACCATTGACCCCCTTACATTATTACCAAACGTCCTGGATTGAAAATACACGTTCATTCGGAAAGACCCTCAGAGGGAAACACAGAGGACTGCAGGCCTGCAGGGACTTTGTGTGGAGCCGGGGTTCGCAAAAATACCCAGAAGGAGTAGGTTTTCCGACTCAGAATAGATCTGAAAATGGAATATGGATCTTCAGCGATGCCTCAGAAGAACAAAACTTCCTCAGATCTCGGTATTGACTGTGTAAACTGAGGTGTCAATGAAATGTTTTGCCATCTGCTATAGAAACGTGCGAGCTTCAGGTGTTAGGATGTGGGTTTGGAACTTTCTGCGCCTTCTTCAATCCTCAAAGACATCAAATAAGGGCATGGTAACATACCAGGCAAGCGAGCAAAGGTATTCCTTGCTGCCCACAGCACCGGCAAAAGCACAAGGGTAACTCACATTTTGTTTCCTGAGTTCTAAAATGGCTTCTGAACCATCCAGAGGTACCAGCACATACGAGAAAGGGGAAGAGATGGGGCAGGAGGAGAATTTGTACATTAAAGAGAAATACACAGATATTATTACACTTCAGCTATTCCACCTCACCTCTCTTTCTCCCTACCCCCATCCTCATTGGTCAGTATGCAGGCCTATTCAGAATCCTCTTCTCTCATTACCCCATCCTAAAAATCTAGTTAGCTAAAAATATCAGCTCTTTTTGGTAGAAAGTTTAAAAACCTTATCCAAACTACCCATCATTTCTTTTGAACAATAAAAAGAAACCCTACATATAATCAATAGTATAAAAGAAGAAATCATTTAGCAAGACCTCACAGGCACTCAAATTAGTATAATAGTGATATTGTCTCTTAACAGTAAAATAATGGGGCCATTTCTGGGATTAACAGGTGAAAAGCTAAAAAATCTCCATTGAAATGTTTGGAAACAGAAGTTTCTGTTTTTCCTTACATTTCATCAGTACAGTAGTTAGTTATTTAAAGAAAATTGATACTTTATCTTGACCATATGAAGCAGTATCATGCCAAATTTTTTTGTTCTATGCCCTAGTTTTTCAGATTAGTTATGTGAATAGTAAAAGTTCATATACAGAACTGATATCTTTTAATGTTAAAGTTTTAATTTAGAAATGCAACCACAATATCACAACCAAATTAAAATATAGTCCATTTCCACTCCTGTTTCTTCTAACTGTACAGTTTGCACAACTTGCTGGTTAAAGAAGTCTGCCCTGAGTTTAAAATTTATACCGTGGAAACATGATTTCTTAAAGTAAAATAAAACTTACTGGTCTTTAGAACTAACTATAATTTGGATATTCTATATACAGCTAATGTAACAATATCTCCATCTCTTACATTTTGGAACTATTGTGAAAGCCAAATGGGCCTAAATAGTTCTTGTTCTAGTTTCTCTTTCAGATGTTTTTATTGAGAAGAGACTGTCCTCAATGATGCAGTAGCATTCTGATGATGCCCATTCTGCTAATTCAAGAACTTCAGACCGAACTTTTACAGGCCATTTTAAAAGAGGCATGCATTTCTTCTTTTGTCAAAGTTTAGAATAGATATAAATAAATGTTAACCTCTGAAAGGCCTAAAATAATTAATTTGTAAGTCAGTTATTATAATGTGGTAATTATTCAAGCTGAAAATTTAAAAACCTCATATATTAGAAGAATAAATGGGATCAATTTATTAAATTGAGTAGCATTTGATAATAATTAATAGTACAATATTCCCTTCCTCAATATTTAAATAAATAATTGTGTGCATTGTGGTATTATTTTTGATTATGAAAGATATTATATAATAATCATCATATAAAAGTAACTGGTCAGTCGAGGGTCTCTTTTTCAATGTTAAGTAAAATATAATTAAAGCACAGTCTTTTTCCTAAAAAAAACACCAAAACATCAAAAAAACACTTCACTATTCTCAGATATATTTTTTACTGTCCTTAACTTTTTTTTTTGTCTCCACATTTTAGGTGATGAACAAAAAAGCATGTAGAAAGAGGTTTCCAATTCTGCTTTATTCCTGCTTCCTCAGCCATCTATTTCTCTATTCACAAATATTACTTCAACTTTAAAAATATTTTGTGATGCTGAAAGTAATTATTATTCCCATTAATTTAAACTGATGATAGGCCTATGAGTGCAAGCATTCAGCCTGTATTTTATTTAAAATAAAGTTCGGTGAAGCAAGTATAGATATTAGGTTGCTACAAGTTTGTATTTAGGTTATGAATATAAATTAGTTGGAATCTTAAAATGTTTTAATATTTTGACATATGCTATGATTTTCAGCACACAATTAAGATTTAGAAAATCTTAAATTTAATTTCTAGTCTTTGGAAAATAATTTAATATATTTTAATTTACCATATTAAGATAAAGCTAATTGTTTTCACCAAAAAAAAGTTAAAATGTTGATACTTATAGATAAATATGGAGAGAATGATGATATCAAATCAAAGGCATTTTCTAAAAATAAGTTATTACTACTGGTAAGTGATCTATTTTAATTGCAGTATTTCTTTTTTTGCACTTCACACATGAACTTAACTTTTCTATGTTTATCTATAAGCATACAATTGGAATTAGACAGATAATCAAAATAATACTTTGTAGTCCTGTCATATGAGTATTTTTCAGTATATGTGTGTATGTTTAGATATTTCTTACTAAAGTTCAGTACTGAGCAAATATATATTTTGAAAAATACTACCAGTTCACTTTAAGATGTTAAATTATGATCTGCTACAGAAATATAAGCTGATAATTTTTAAAGTATAGTTGAGATCATTTTTCATTAATGATTCAAGGAAGGATAAGAAATAAATATCATAGACCTGAAAACACTGATGCAGACCCTAGTTCTACCTAAGTTTTATTTCAAATTCTTGTCATGAGTCAAATGTATATGAAGGTCATGTAACATTCACAATTAATGTAAACAGATTTGAACTGTTAGAAATAGAATTATGATACCAGCAAGAAGGAAGAATGGATATTTTAAATGTTTTAGGTAGCCTGACTGTAGGTTAATTTCATGTTAATTACATAATGGGCAATTTGCTAAATAATCCAAAACCAAGGACAAAACAAGACCAGTAAAAGATATTTGCTCAAGAACTCAAAAGCAGGGCAAATAAGATCAAAAATATTTTTTTATCACACCATCATGGGAAGTATAAACAAATTAAATTTTTTTGTATGGATAATTTTACAGTTTCCAATGAAGCTTTTTTTTTTTTTTTTTTTTTTTTTTTTTTTTTACCATTTTACTTGGATAATGCTTTTAAAACACATAGTTAGACAATTACCACTTACTATTTATGGTCGTATTTTTAAAAATATATTTTATTGATTTTTCACAGAGAGGAAGAGAGTGGGATAGAGAGTTAGAAACATCGATGAGAGAGAATCATCCATCAGCTGTCTCTTGCACACCCCCTACTGGGGATGTGCCTGCAACCAAGGTACATGTCCTTGACCTGAATTGAACCCAGGACCTTTCAGTCTGCAGGCCTTTGCTCTATCCACTGAGCCAAACCGGTCCCGGCTACTTATGGTCATATTTTAAAGTTACATATATATGTTTTATTTAAATACAACACTTACACATTCTGCCCCAAAATATTGAATAGCAAGTTCAGCATCACTCTCCAATGGTAAGTAGGTACAATTGGACATTTGGACTAGGCTGAGGGGCTGTTTAATGTGAAGCCCAAGTAGGGCTACAGGGGCGAGAACACAGCCCTGACCAAATGCTGGCTAATTTGCTTAAGAGTAATGAAGCTGAAACCGGTTTGGCTCAGCGGTAGAGCGTTGATCTGCGGACTGCAAGGTCTTAGGTTCGATTCCGGTCAAGGGCATGTATGTTGGTTGCGGGCACATCCCCAGTAGGGGGTGTGCAAGAGACAGCTGGTCGATGTTTCTCTCTCATCGACGTTTCTAGCTCTCTATCTCTCTCCCTTCCTCTCTGTAAAAAATCAATAAAATATATATATATTTTTTTTAAAAGAGTAATAAAAATAACCCTGAGTTAGTGTAAATTGTCTGCAATTTTTAAAATACACCATGTACCTACTGGAAAAGCAAATAACTTCACACAAAGACTGTTAAAAGAAGGAATACATATATTTTGCATCCAGAGGGGCTTCACAGATGTCATGTAGAAAATATCAATGTAGCCATATAAAAGAACTGTACATAAGAACATCACTTGAAAATATATGATTGCTTTCAATTTCTTTAAAGTGGTTGATGTATCATGTCTTAAAGATTTAAAATGCAGCTTTTCAAAATATGACTAATATCTATAAAACACACACCACCAACGTATTATCATTCTAATTTTTAAAATGCCCCCCCCCACCCAATACTCCAAAGGACCTTTTAGTTCATCTGGTCCTATTGAAAGATCATGCACCAACGCTAAGATCAGCAAATGAAGTCTGTGGCTTACCAACACAAAAGAACTTTAAAGATCAGTGCCTTCCAAGGAAAATGATCTGCCTGGAATGACCAGGATAAAATTGTGGACATTTTTAGTAGCACATTTTTGAACAAATATATAATAATGTAAGATTAATATAACATTTCTACAGTATAGTAATATTTTATATCATTGTTTTGAGTTTAAATATATGGATTTAAACTATAGAACTCTGTGTATGGCTATCGGCAGGTTTCTCTTTATTCATGAACAGAACAGCTTGGAAGAAAAATCAGATCAAAACATAAAATTCAGACATAAATTCAAGTTTCAGAACAACAATGATATTAAATCAACCAACAGAAAAACTGACTTACACAATAACCTATTAATTTGGGGGAAATGAGTGATAAAAACAAAATATTTAAATTTATTTCCATTAGAGTAAAAGATTACATATAAGCCTAACCAAGGGACACAGACACCAGGGGAATGAGGGCATGAGTGGAGGGATGGAGGGGGGGCCATAATGGGGAGATAAGGACACATATGTAATATCTTAATCAATAAAGAAAAAAAAACATACAAAAAGATTACTTATTTCTTATACAATATTGTAGGAAATAAAGTCCTAAATATTTAGGAAAGGGATATGAACATCCTAAAAAAACAAGTAGGTCTCTATTCAGAATATGTGATAGTAATTGATCTGGAAGGATTATTCAAAGATATTTTAATATAGTCATGAATATGTTAGCATATAAAAATGCTGCATTATATTGAATTTTGTCAATATCTAGTAGGCTATTAAATTGTATGCATACAAAGAAAAATAGGAGATACTTTAATAAATATCTTTTAAAAAATATATTTTTATTGATTTTTTACAGAGAAAGGGAGAGGGATAGACACTTAAAAACACTGACCAGCTGCCTCCTGCACACCCCCCACTGGGAATGTGCCCGAAATCAAGGTACATGCCCTGACTGGAATCGAACCTGGAACATTTTGGTCCATAGGCCAACGCTTTATCCACTGAACCAAACCAGTCAGAGCAATAAATGCCCTTCTTTTTGGTACTTCTTAATTTATACATATATTAATTCAGCTTACATTTCAGTAAAAAAAGAAAGAAAAAACAAAACCAAGTAAGTTACTAAATCAGCATTTATTATTTCCTATCTGTGCTTCTTAATTTAATATTTATAACTACCTCATGCATAGAGCTTTTCCATTTTACAAAGTGGAAAACACAGATTTAATGATGCTTTTTAACTTGCCCGTGGTCACAGACTGGTAACTTATAAGAATACAAACTTATGTCTTTTTTATTTTTTTACTTCATTATTGCCAGATGGAAAACTCTTTCAGGAAAATTACCATAATCAGTCAATTCAACACTCCCACATTAAGGACCCATCATTAAAGCCACTTAATAGGTTTACAATTGGGACTAATTATATCCAAGAGTTTCCACATCTGTAAATGGGAGTAATAATACCTAATTTGCCATGTTATTGTAAATAAAAAATGAAATGTATATAAATTTCCTGGTACTCAGTAATCCTTTAGTAAATGGCATCTATTATTATGGGGAAAACAACGGAACAAAATTCATTCTTGACCTCAAGGAACTTAAAACTATTTGGGTAAATAAAGTTTACAACTGGAATGTAAGTAAGGTATGAGCAAGTGCATGGTAATATGTGCAGCCTCATTAGACAAAATCTTATTATGAGGCTTATGTTATGATTTAAATATACTGCAGTGGAAACTTACTCTTACTGAGCAGAAAAAGGAAAAGCCACCTTAAAATAATTGACTGTTCTTCTAGAATGTACTTCCTGAGGTTGTCTATATCTAACCAATATATCAGGTGAACAATGGGAAGTAACTGCATGAACATAAAATATATCCTAAAAAGCATACATATGCAGGTAGTTTGAAAGTCAGCCTTCATTATTTTGGAGTAACTGACTGTTATAACTCTGATTCAAATGGGAATAGGAAAATACCGAGAAGTTTCATAATCATTGCATTATGGGATCCATAGTAAGTACTCAGTGTAGGATAGTGAATGAATGGCTTTAGAGCCAAATAAATTTTATTTTTAATCCCGGTACTTACTATGTGTCTCATCTTGAAACAGGC